GGGCCGCAGGAAGGTGAAGTCGCTGCGGTCAGAGCCGGGGGAGAAGCAGGTGCTGTAGCACTGGGACTGGGAGTCGGCGGGTCGCAGGGTGACCTCCATGTACTTCAGGGTGCCGTCGGAGCTGAGCTGGAGCTTGGGGCTGGAGTTCTTGAAGAAGTCCCGGGAAGGCGACTCGCTGAGCCAGCAGCAGCTGGGTGAGGCAGCAGCACGGCCTCTACGACGGAGGCACCGGGCGGCCAGGAGGGTGACAGTGGCAAGTGCCACAGTGCTAACGGCTGCCAGCGCGATGATCAGGTAGAGGGTCAGGTCCGGCTTCTCCTTGGCACCAGCCAGGAAGTCCCGAGCCTTGTAGCTCTCCTCCAGGGCCACCTCCTCCAGGGCCACGGTGATGGTGACAGTGGTGGAGAGCGGTGGGTCACCGTTGTCCATCACCTGCACAATGAGCTGCTGCGCTACCGCGTCGGTGTCCTGGATGGCACGTGCTGTCCGCACCTCCCCAGTGTACAGCGACACATGGAACAAGGAGGGGTCAGTGGACTGCGGCAGCAGTCGGTATGAGAGCCAGGCATTGTGCCCAGCATCTGCGTCCACTGCTGTCACTTTGGTAACCAGGTAGCCAGGTGGCGCAGACAGGGGGACCCTCTGGGGTGCTGGGATGTCACTGTCGCTGGCAGGGTGCAGGATGGTGGGGGAGTGGTCATTCTGGTCCAGCACGAAGATGTAGACAGTAATGTTGGCACGGAGTGGGGGGGACCCTGAGTCCCGCACAGCCACAGAGACCGGCAGAACCTGCAGTAGCTCAAAGTCGAAGGTGCGCTGAGCGTAGAGGTTGCCGTTGTCAGGGTTGATGTGGACAAAGGAAGAGGTGGGGGTACCCTGCACTTGGCCAGTCTCTATGGAGTAAACAAGGTGGGAATTCTCCCCATCATCGGGGTCCGAGGCAGAGACAGTGCACAGCAGGGAGCCAGGTGGGTTATTCTCCGGGAGGAAGGCATCGTAGGAGGGCTGCAAGAAGCGTGGGGGGTTGTCATTCACATCAGATATGTTAAGGAGCAGTGTGAGCGTCGTGGGAGACCCACCATCCTGGGCAATCAGCTCCACTACGTACTGTGAGGTGGACTCACGGTCCAGACTCTCCCGGGTGACCAGGGAGAAGTGGTTCTGAAGGGACCTGACAGTGAAAGGCACATTGGGGGAGATCTCCAAGCTCACATCCCCATTGGCCCCTGAGTCTCGGTCCCGTATGTTGAAGAGCCCCACGACAGTCTCCAGTGGGGTGTCTTCTGGCACTGGGGTCCGCAGGGAGGGCTCTGGAGGGTTGTCGTTGGCATCCTCCACTTCCACCTGTAACATGCAGTGGCCCTCCATCTCTGGGACCCCACCATCATGGGCTCGCACATAGATCTCATAGAAAGGTGATTCCTCAAAGTCCAGGGCCCCACTCACCCTGACCTCACCACTGTGGGGATCCAGGGCAAAGAGCCTCCGGACTGAGTCGGAGGTATGAACCCCGAACGAGTACTGCGTCTCCCCATTGGGGCCCTCATCAGGGTCAGACGCATTAAGCCGGAGGAGCAGGGCCCCCACAGGTGTGTTTTCTGGGACTTGCACCTTGTACGTGGCACGGTCAAAGGTGGGCGCGTTGTCATTGATATCCAAGACCAAGACCGTTATCTGCGCCGTGCCTGAGCGGGCTGGGCTTCCCCCATCCATGGCTGTCAGCACCAGCTCCAGTTCTGGCTGCTCTTCCCGGTCCAGAGCACGCTCCAGCACCAGCTCTGGGAAGAGTTTGCCATCCTGCTGCTGCTTGACATCCAGGGAGAAATGGGAACTGGAGCTCAGCCGGTAGGAGCCCACAGCATTGGTGCCCACATCGGGGTCCTGCGCACTCTCCAGGGGGAAGCGCGCAGCCACTGTGGCAGACTCGGCAATGCGCAGGGTGCGGTGAGCAGTGGGGAAGCTTGGAGAGTTGTCATTCAGGTCCAGGATCTCGACTTCCAGACGGAAGAGCTGCAGGGGGTTCTCTGTCACCACCTGCACTGACAGCACGCAGCTGGCAGCTGCTCCACACAGACGCTCCCGGTCCAGCTGCTGGCTCACCACTAGCATGCCACTGTCCAGGCGCACGGCAAAGTGGCGCAGGCTCTCCTCTGAGCCCAGGCGCAGCCTGCGACCCGGCAGCTCCTCCACCTTCAAGCCCAGGTCCCGGGCCACATTCCCGACCACGGTTCCCACATCTGACTCCTCAACCACCGAGTAGTGGATCTGCCCAGAGACCCAGCCCCAGCCGCAGAGCGAAAACAAACTCAGTACTTGCCATTTCCAGGCGGGTCGCTGGAGGCTGATGCTCTCCATGTCTGTGCGCGTCCAGCCCAGGACGCAGCAGGCACTGGGGAACAGCGAAAAAATCCCTGGGTCTCTCTTCCACGGCTTGGAAAACAGCTCCGGGGCTCCGGCAGGCTGCAGCTCCGGCTGTCAGCCTCTGAGCAGAGGGGGTGGGCTGGCGTGGCTCCCCGGAGGTGCGGAAGCAGGGGCCCGAGCCCGCATCAGTGGGGCTGCCACCCCCGGCCTCCCCTCCACCAGCCTGAGTCACTTGCTCCGACAGCTCGCTTCCCGTTCGCAGGGAAACTGCACGTCCTGGCAGCCTGGAAGCTAGGTACAAGCCCTCCCTGTGTGCTCCCCCTTCCACAATGGTAGCTTCACATCATGCCCACAAACAAAGGGCAGCTGTCATGAACGCAGGCCAAAGGACTTTTCATGCCTGATGAAAAGGTGCTTGTTAGAGCCCTGAGGTGCCAGGGCTCTTCTCCCACGCCTTTTATCTCTCCCAGCTAATGCTTTGGCCGCTGCCTGAACCCCATGATTGCCTTGGTAAGTGAGGCATCACTGCCACCAGTACCACCATCATCCAGGACACCTCGCACCGAGACAGGGATGCCCACCCCTGCCAGGCCCCCATGGATGTCGGAGACAGAAGGTGGGAAGGGAGAGATGGGTGAGCCATTCAAAGCCGGAACGCAGTTGCTCCCCGCATACACCTGGCTGGATCCCCCTTCCTTACCTTGGGGCAAGGAAGGGGTCAACCTTCACAGTACCTGAGTCACTGCAAATGCACAGAGACGGCCAACAAGCCCACTAGACCACCACTGGATCACAACATCAGGTCAGAATGTCAGACTGGGGAGGAGGCCCGAGCCTCCCACCTGGGAGAAACACAAACTGAAATTCTGCAGCAGACACAGCTTTGCAGCCAAGCAGTCTCCTGGAGAGCAAAAACGGGGGTCTCAGCCTCCCCAGGGGAAGTGGAGCAGTAATTTCCCCCTCTGCCTCTCCCAGAGGATGGTGGCAAGCTGCAGGGTGTTAGCTCAGTTCACACCCCTGCAGAAGCCTTGTGCAGTCATGCCCTGGAATCTTGTCCTCAGCACACTCAAAGCCACCCTGACCTCCCTTGGGTGCACGCAGACCCTGGGTGTTGGGGTCTGCAGTGGTGCAGCAGGCAGGGGAGCCAGCTCCTGCCTGGGACCCTGCCCACCCCCACCACCCGGACACCAGGGGGACCTGGGGTAATAGGTAAGAGAGTCTGGGGGCACCTATGGCCGGCACGGTGGACAGTGAGAGGGACACCAGAAGGACAAGGACAGAGACGGTGGAGGTGCTGCTGTTGAGGGGTCTCCCTCCCCTCTACAGCCCCTCGCTGCCCATTGCAAGAGCCACGGGGTGGAACCACCCTGATGCCAGTCAGGGAGAGACGGAGCAAGGAACCTCGCGATTGGTGCAGAACACCACCCGGATCCCACCTCCTCCATTCTCCGGTGGAGGGGAGAATGCATTCTTAAAGGGCCAACACAGCAAAACGCGGGACAAGTTGATTCCCTAGCATCCAGAGACTGATACCTGCTTGGACGTACTCATTCCCCGGGGGCTTCTGACGGTGCCACCAGCAGGAAGCTGTCACAGTAACCTTGACTCTGGGATGTACCCTGTTCCCATCCCAAGCAGGGCCCCGAACAGCACAGCTGGGTGACAGACATTGCCACTGACAACAACAGGTGCTGTGCCCCTGGGAATGGGTTTGCCGCTGCTGCGGTGCCTCAGCAGAAGCCCCCTGTGAAGCCCACATGGCCTGGGAGAATCAGCTCAGTGTCCCGAGGTGGTTTGGTCACCAAGGAGCTGGAGCAAGGGATGGGCTTCACGTGGGGGATCCTGCTGTTGCTTGGGTCTGCCAAAGCCCCGGATGGGGACAGTGACAAGGCAGGAAGGGTATGGGGTACCTAGGATGGAGAAGATGTCCCTGTTTGAGGGCCAGAGCTCACCCTGTGGAAAGGCTCCAACCCCGACAACCCAGGGAGCTGAGGGATCACTGGAGATATTGCAGGGTAGGATCCCTCACAGCAGGTCATGCCACCTGCCACAGATGGGGCCAGCAGCATTCCCACTGCATTGCTTCTGGGGTCTGGCTGTTGCCCTGCAGAGCAGAGAGGTGTAAAGCCTCTGCAGGCTTGACACGGTCTGTGGCATTGGGCTGGATCTTCTTTGACCACAGAGACTGAAAATCCAGGGACCAGTGCCAGCCCAGCTGCTTTCTCACTGCCAGTGCCTTACCAGTGTAGTACCAGGGAGTAGCAGAGAGTCATGGCTAGGGCTAGGCTTACCACCTGCTCATGATCATTTTCTTCCATCCCCACTCTCAAACCACATACTGTCCCCACCCATGGAGCCATCTTGCCAGGACCCTTTGGGGGGGGGGGGCCCCCACCTGTCACAGATCAGAAGTGCTGAGTCTGAGCAGCGACGCAAGAGGAAAAAAAAAAAAAAGCATAAAAAAATTCTGGGAGGTTTCTGCCTCTGCCTGTGATTCGACCACAGCGAGCAGGCGGCACTCACAGCCCCACACCCATGCACAGCTTCCGCTGCACCTCACTTCCTTCTGCTCCAAGGAACCAGTCACTCCTACAGTCGCTCCTACTCATGGCCTCCCCGGAAGGGACATATTACCAGCACCAACCACCTTGGAAACGCATCAGATCCTCCTTCTTCCTCTGGATCCACTACCCGGACACCCCTCTGAGGATCAAAGCATTCCTGTAATTGAAAGCTCTCAAATTAAGCTGCATAATTCCCACTGGGGAAGAAGCACAGAAGCTGCCTGCCATGCGCAAATGCTTTCCTGGCTGCAGTTTGTTCAGTTAGGATATCAGACATCGCCCGAAGATAGCATATTACAGATCGTGCAGGACTTGTAATATGGTTGTTGAAAGAGCACCTGGCTGGAGGACTCACCATCCTGCTCAGAGCCACAGTGCAGCTCAGCGAACCCTGCAAACAGCTGGGGTGGTCTGCAGTCCCACCCTCCCACACACCCTGAAGTGAACATCACCACAAAACTTCCATGGAAATAAAATTGGAACCATCAGGAGCCAAACATGAAGGGATACACGGACAGGAGGGAATGCTCTGTGGCCACAATCTGTCAAAGGGAGGAACCAGCACCATCCTTCACCTTCGCATGTTACGCTGTGGGAAGCGACACCCCAGTCTCCTATTGGGAGCTGGTGGCTCCCAGCCCCATTTGCACCACCACCTCCTCAGTCCACACCGGAGCACGACTCAGAGAGGCTACGTTCCCCTCCCAGTACCTGACCCCGCAAGGGTTCCCATCAGCAAAGGGAAGGAAACAGCATTGGTAGCAAACTTTCTGCTGAGGATTTTCAAGTGGCTTCAAGCTGACCTCAGTCTCCACTGGTTACTGAAGCAAGGCATACCCGAAACTGCATTGGAAAGACGGATGTTCACTAACTTGAGCAAACCAACTCACTTGATCCTGCTCACCATGGTGCAAATGTCATCGACACTCAGGATGGTTCATTTGACTCTGAAGAAGACCTGTTCAGCTATAGCTAATCACTCTTTAGAGGCATGGCGCAACTGGATATTCCCCCCAACCCCAATCTGCTATCATACGCGTATGGCACAAAGGAACCATGGCTCTGCCCAGCACTGGGACATGCCAAGGAAGCAGCTACATTACCTCGGCAGGTGTGGGGAGCCGGCTTGCAGTGCCCACAATCTGGTGGTACAGCCCTGGTTCACCATTCCTCATGGTGCTCTGGCGGCTCCCCAGAGGGCTGGAAGTGAAGGGCTTTTTACACATGAGATCACTCTGGCGAGAGTCTGTGGTGAGATAGACCTGGTGGTATAAGCTGGGTGGCATGAAGCCACCCCTCACAGCATCAATGTGGTGGAAGGGCCCTGGTGTCCTGTACAGGGTGCTCCTGGAGCTGTTGAACAACTCCTTTGACTGCCTCCACTTGTAGCACTTGAAGATGCCCACTGACAACATGGTGATGAAGAAAGCCGCTGATACCAAAATCACAGCCAGGATGAGATAGAAAGTCACATGCCTCCTGGGATCATTGGCAGGTGCCACATCAGTGAGGTCAGTGAGCACCTCCTTGACCATCTCGGCCACAAAGATGGAGACAGTGGCACTGGCAGACAGCACAGGCTCCCCATGGTCTTTCCGCAGGATGACTAGTGTGTGCTGGGAAGCATCATCCTCCTTGAGCTGGCGGGCTGTGAAGATGTCCCCGCTGTGTGGTCCAACTGAGAAGAGGCTGGGGTCAGTGGCCTGCAACAAGGTATAGGAGATCCAGGCGTTGTACCCAGCATCTGCATCCACTGCCACCACCTTGGTGACTATGTGCCCGGCAGGAGTGCCTGGTGCCACCACATCGGTATAGGTGGCAGTGGTGTTGGGGTGAGGGTACAGCACGGTTGGGGCATTGTCATTGAGGTCGGTGACAAACACACTGACTGAGACATTAGTAGCCAGAGGCGGAGAGCCGCCATCCTGGACCTGCACCATCATGCTGAACTCCACCTGGTCCTCGTGGTCCAGGGAGGTGAGTAGGTAGAGGGTGCCATTCTCCCGGTTGATGGAGAAGATGTGGCCTACAGTGGGATCACCCTGCAAGAGAGTATAGGAGAGATGGGCGTTGCGTCCAAGGTCCGGGTCTGTGGCGCTCACATTAAGGATGGGCATGCCAGGCACGTTGTTCTCCAGCACATACACATCATAGGAGTCCTGGGAAGACTTGGGCGCATTGTCGTTGACATCTGACACCTGCACCAGGATCTGTTTTACTGCAGACAAGGGTGGTGAGCCTGAGTCCCTGGCTGTGATAGTGATATTATACTCTGATGCCTTTTCTCGGTCCAGAGCTGCTTTTGTTTTCAATGTGTAGTAATTTTTGAGGGAGGAGCTGAGCATGAACGGGATCCCAGGAGAAATGAAGCAGTTCACCAGACCGTTGTCATGGGAGTCCGAGTCTGTTACACTCAGCAGAGCTACTACTGTGCCTGGGGCTGCATCTTCAGGCACGGGGCTGTACACAGAAGTCACTGTCACCTCTGGAGTGTTGTCATTCACATCCACAACTTCAACCAGCACTTTGCAATGAGCCACGCCAGGAACGGCACCCTTGTCTTTAGCCTGTAAGTAAATCTCATACAGCTTTGTTTCCTCGTAGTCTAGCTGTCCCTTGACCCTCAACTCACCCGTGGCTGAGTCCAGAGCAAAAAGTTCTCGTACCTTGACAGGTGTGTGGCTGCTGAAGGAATAGATGATGTCTCCGTTGGGTCCATCATCCAAATCATATGCACTGATCCTGGCAACCAGAGTACCATTGGGCGTGTTCTCCCTCACACTTGCCTTGTAGGTGGACTGGTTGAAGACTGGGGTGTTATCATTGGCATCCACAACGTCAATGTGGATCTGCACGTGGGCCGAGCGTGGCGGGCTGCCTCCATCCAGTGCAGTCAAGACTAAATGCAGCTCCCGTTGCTCCTCCCTGTCCACCTCCTTCTCTAGCACCAGCTCCGCGTACTTGCTGCCATCCACCCTCGTCTGCACGTCGAGCGCAAAGTGCGGGTTGGCGCTGAGCTGGTAAGTCTGCAAAGAGTTAATCCCCACATCGGGGTCTTGCGCGCTCTCTAGCGGGAAGCGCGCTCCGGCCGCCACCGACTCGCTGATTTCCAGCCTCGCCTGGCTGCTGGGAAAAACCGGGTCGTTGTCATTGATGTCCTGGATCTCCACGGCGCCGCTGTACAGCTCCAGCGGGTTTTCCACCACGATCTCAAAGCTGAGGGAGCAGGGAGAGAGCGCGCCGCAGAGCTCCTCCCGGTCTATCCGCTCGCTCACCAGCAGCGCGCCGCTCGTCAGATCCACCCCGAAGTACTTCTTGTTGCCGCCGGACACCACCCGCAGCCGGCGCCCCGGCAGCCTCCCGAGGTCCAGCGCCAGGTCGGCTACCACGTTCCCCACCGGGGAGC